GGGGCTACTAGTAGCTTCTGGTTACTACTAGCGATGCCATCGTTGCTGTAATGCCAGGAGCTACTAGTAGCTTCTGGTTACTACTAGGGATGCCATCGTTACTAGTAGCTTCTTGTTCCTAGTAGTAATGCCAGGAGCTACTAGTAGCTTCTGGTTACTACTAGCGATGCCATCGTTGCTAGTAGCTTCTTATTCCTAGTAGTAATGCCAGGAGCTACTAGTAACTTCTTGTTACTACTAGCGACGCCCTTGTTACTAGTAGCTTCTTGTTCCTGCTACTCGTAGCTTCTGGCTACTACTAGCGATGCCTTTGCTCCTAGTAGCTTCTTGTTCCTAGTAGTAATGCCAGGGGCTACTAGTAGCTTCTGGTTACTAGCGATGCCCGCGTTACTAGTAGCTTCGTATTTCTAGTAGTGATGCCAGGAGCTACTAGTAGCTTCTTGTTACTACTAGCGACGCCGTTGTTACTAGTAGCTTCTTGTTCCTAGTAGTAATGCCAGGAGCTACTAGTAGCTTCTGGTTACTACTAGCGATGCCTTTGTTCCTAGTAGCTTCTTGTTCCTAGTAGTAATGCCAGGGGCTACTAGTAGCTTCTGGTTACTAGCGATGCCCGCGTTACTAGTAGCTTCGTATTTCTAGTAGTGATGCCAGGAGCTACTAGTAGCTTCTTGTTACTACTAGCGACGCCGTTGTTACTAGTAGCTTCTTGTTCCTAGTAGTAATGCCAGGAGCTACTAGTAGCTTCTGGTTACTACTAGCGATGCCTTTGTTCCTAGTAGCTTCTTGTTCCTAGTAGTAATGCCAGGGGCTACTAGTAGCTTCTGGTTACTACTAGCGATGCCATCGTTACTAGTAGCTTCTTATTTCTAGTAGTAATGCCAGGAGCTACTGGTAGCTTCTTGTTACTACTAGCGATGCCCTTCTTACTAGTAGCTCCTTGATCCTAGTAGTAATGCCAGGGGCTACTAGTAGCTTCTTGTTACTACTAGCGATGCCCTTGTTACTTGTAGCTTCTTGTTCTTTCTCGCCCTCAGATCTTCCTTGTAGAAGTTGATGGAAAAGCTGTCGATGGCCAACTCCATCCCGGCGACGATGTGCAAGTGGATGTAGACCTCAAACAGCCGTCGCTTGACTCGAAATGTAAGGATGCAACAACTCCTGAACAAACTTCCATCCTTGATGTGAAGGATGAGGCTGGCAATGCCGACTGATATTGAACAACGAAACTAGGGAACATCATGGGTCATGGTTGGGTCGACGTCTGCATTTGAATCATTTCTAAGAAAAAATACAACTGCAATGTGAAAGCAAATTCACAGGCCACAGAACTCACAGAATGATGGCGTGTCCTTCTTCGACTCCATCATACTCCATCCTTCTTCCATAGTTTTGATTCACGTCCTCGCCCCCCCTGTCCGATCAGGGCACAATGGCGGTGAAGAATAAGGCCACTACTGAGAAGCATCCGCAGGTCACAGGACTCTCAGGATGTCCGGTGTCCACGAAGCTGTCCTGGGGGACTGTATCCGGTCAGCCACTGGTCAAAGGGAAAAATACATATCCAACCCTGCAGGCTTTTAGGTTTCAAAGATTTGGGGGTTTTGCTGCGGCAAAACATGGGTTGAAATCCTGGAATCACTTTTGATGGCACATCTGATGCAAGGGTTCCTGTTTTGGAGCTTCTCATCATCCAGCAAACTTTCGATGTCTCCAAAAATACCCTGCAACACACTTCGGACAAACTGACACTTATTTGGTATAGCTAGGCAACAAAGGCTCAAACTACCTGTGTCGCGAAGCTGGGAGCAGTGAGTTTGGAGGTTCGAAGCATCGAGGTGAGCCATAGCAAAAAGCGGCCAGGAGCACTAGTAGCTTCTAGGAAAAGAGAGCTACTAGTAACAAGTGCATCGCTTCTAGTAACAAGTGCCTTACTAGTAGTAACAAGAAGCTATTAGAAACAAGAAGCTGCTAGGAGCGATGGCCTTTGTTCCTAGTGCCACGCTAGTAGTAACAAGTGCATCGCTAGTAGTAACAGGTGCCTTACTGGTAGTAACAAAAAGCTAGTAATTACAATTCTAATTAAATTCTTCTTGTTACTAGTAAGGCAGGAGCACTAGTAGCTTCTAGGACCCTAGGAGCGATGGCCTTTGCTCCTAGTAGCTTCTTGTTACTAGTAGTAAGGTGCCTTGTTACACATGGTGCAAGGACTACCCGCACCTTCAGTGGCTAGCCTCCGACCCTCCGACCACATGGAAGTGGACAATGATTTTGGAAGTTTCATCTTTTTTTCCCACCACCAAACCATGTGATATGTGTTCAGAGGATATCCCCTGCACCGTGAATGGTATGCAGTGGGATTTGGGGGGCCAAAAACAAGCACCATGACCGGGCGACACTGGCATAGGCCAGCCAGCGGCAGCAAAGCATCACGAATAGAAAACCCAGCACTTCCTGGCCGTTGGAACATATGGGGTTGAAGCTTCCCCAAGAGACCGAAGGACACAAGGAAGGAAACTGTTGGTGTTTGCCTTCTCCCTATTTCCATGAGCAGCTGATCTCGGTGGCACCTGCTCTCCAAATCGCCTAAATTGAAAGAAACTCGGTGCGAAACGTCACCAAAGGAGGAGTGGTCTGGCGACGACTGTGGATTCACTATCTTTGGGGACATCGGAACCTTATTATGGATGAGAACAGGGGAACATGGTATCCTGGATCATGCCTGGCTTCTTGACACTTTCCACTTGACACAGCTGCCTTCCTGAAAGTCGCCTCATTGGGGTTGGTTGGCTTCACGGAAGGGAACCAGAAACATTGCTAGGCCGCTAGGCCCGTTGAGCTGGGAGACTGATGGAACTCTTGAGAGACCAGGAGTCCAAGGTCTTGCATGTCTTGTCCAAAAAAGGGGGGGCTGTCGAGGCTGTTGATCATTTTGCATAGCTTGGCAATTTTTTTTGACATCTGTCTTTTGCTCCATCTCCTAGGATAACATGGAGCGTGCAAAGCCCTCAACACTCTGGGCTCAAAGAAGAACGAACTATTTATAACTATTTGCAAGAATTTCTTGGACAGTTTGTTCAGAAAAGAAACCGCAAGCGTTTTTAAGCACCCGGACAACGACCGAATAGACAACGAAGCTGTCCGCCCATCCTTGAAGCGGCGCTTTGAGGTTGACCTCCAGTCGTCCAGGAAGCCGCTGCTCCTGGCGGCTCAGTCGACTGGGCGTGGATGGGTAGTAGTGGTAGTCGTAGTGGTAGTGGTAGCCGTAGTAGTGGTAGTGGTGGTAGTAGTAGTAGTAGTAGTAGTAGTTAGTAGTAGTAGTGGTGGTGGTGGTAGTAGTAGTAGTAGTAATGCCCTTTCTTACTAGTACCGATGTCCGTGCTACTAGTAGCTTCTTGTTCCTAGTAGTAAGATTGCTACTAGTAGTCATGCCCTTTGTTACTAGTAGCGATGACCTTGCTCCTAGTAGCTTCTTGTTCCTAGTAGTAAGGCCAGGAGCTACTAGAACCGTCCGTGCTCCTAGTAGAGATGCCCTTTGTTCCTATAGTAGGGTTCTTGCTGTCAAGACACGCTGTCGTGATTGTCATTGTTACGCTGATATGCCGGCGCGGTGTCACACCAGCACGTTGTCAAGGTGTCATGCTAACACGTCGTCGCGTCGAGCTGCAAAAACTTGGCGTTTGAAAACAGTAGTGTCTAACACGACTGACGCCTTGCAAGTTTCTTAACCCATGCCAAACGTTGCCAGTACTAAACCAGTACTAACACATGCCCAGCTGTTGGGGATTTTTCTTGGGCTTAGAAGCGGGGGTAGGCCGTAGTAGTTTATAAGTATAGCCTGTCGCCAAGTACAGTAAGTACGCAGGAAAGCTCACGCTCGCACTATTCATGTGGTTCTTTGGTTTAGGAACACTTAAAAGACAGCTCTTTGAAGACTGTTCCCGACTGTTTTTGAAAAACAAGCAACCTGTTTCTCGTTTTTTCGGGCACCGACCGCTTTTTGTCGGCTCCTAGCATAGTCCTCGAGGCCGCCGTCCTCGCGCGAGAGCATCCCATGGATCTGGGACCAGCGCAAGCGCCAGGCGGCTGCTAAGACGCCCACCAAATAGCACAGAGTGGTTGCTGAGATGTACCTTAGCCGAGGAGCAAGGACGCTACTGGTAGCTCCTGGCATTGCTACTAACAAGAAGCTACTAGTAACAAAGGGCATCGCCACTAGGAGCAAGGACGCTACATAAGTAGACACACTTTTTTATCTAAGCAGGGGTTGCTATTTAACTTATCCCTTAAAACACAGAGCCAGAGCCGACTAAACTTGAAAAGGGCTCCCTACCCTACTTCTTTCTGTGCTCAAGAATCTAGCAGGCCATGCTCAGGTGGGAGTGCGGGCATGACAGGGCTGTGATTCGAATTGGAATTGATGATGTTTTCCTCGTTGTGTTGCTCTTGTGTAAACCCCACCTACGCACCCACGACGGGCGTCGCCCGGTTGTTCTGCACCCACGACATCCAGCTGACATGCCGAGGAGCGGGTCGCAAAGCCCGGCAGAACTCAAGTACAACACCAGGGCACTCAAGGCCAATAGGATGAAGGAGATCGCGAAGAGCACCTTTTGTTTAGGCTACAATCCAGCGAAGAGGAGCTTTCATGCATCACTTGAAAAGAGAACTCGCTACTGGCTGCTTGGTTGGTCGTTTCTCTTGAAGGGCCTGGCTCAAAACCCTAAACCCTTCCCTTTTGATTCTAGGCGTTGGACATGGAAGCCTTGGAACCTCAACACTCTATGGGGTTAATAAACCCAGCCCTCTACAGAGCTGGTCCCTGATTCTGCTGCCGACTGCCTGTTGGTGTAAACAGCAGTCCTGCAGCAAGCTTTGTGCGTTCGGGAGCAACTTCTAAGATACCCAAGATAGAGCTAAACCTACTAGGTAGGAGGCCATCGCTTCTAGGAGCAAGAAGCTACTAGGGGCTCCTGGCCTTACCACTAGGAGCAAGGATGCTACTAGGAGCAAAGGGCATCGCTACGAACGGAGAAGGAAGCTACTAGGGGCTCCTGGCCTTACCACTAGGAGCAAGGATGCTACTAGGAGCAAAGGGCATCGCTACGAACGGAGCAAGAGGCTACTAGGGGCTCCTGGCCTTACTACTAGGAGCAAGGATGCTACTAGGAGCAAAGGGCATCGCTACGAACGGAGCAAGAAGCTATTAGGTTGGAGGCCATCGCCAGCATTTTCACCAGGGCGCGCAACCAGATCTCACCTGGCGGACGGAGTCGTCACCAGGCTTCCAAGCGGATGTCGCATGTCTTCCAAGTGGGGGGTCGAAAAGGGTAACTTCGAAAAGCCTGGTGTCCAAATTGACTGATGAGTTCTCATTCTTAGCGATTCTTAGTCGTTCTCCATGAAAGGCACACAAATGTGTGGATTCTTTTTCACAGCAAGTCAGCACATTGCCGAAAGGCACTATTTTTCAGAGTTGCTTGAGCCTCATTCAGATCACCAGCTTTCTAAGACTCGTACAAATTCCCAAGCAGTAGGAGGTTGTAAATGGATACCTACAAGTCGCAGCAACCAGGTTGGAAGCGATCGCTAGTAGGTTGGAGGCCATCGGTCTTAGGTTGTAAATGGATGCCTCAAAGTCGTAGCAAAATGCTGCCTGCCCCAGGGGCATCACCATGTCCTCCCACTCTCTCTCTCTCTCTCTCTGTCTGGCCGTGGCCTGTTCCAGGTCCCGAATGCCCAGCACGGTCAAGTAGCTTATTGTTTCTACTAGTAACAAGTGCCTCGCTAGTAGTAACAAGTGCCTTACTACTAGTAACAAAAAGCTATTAGAATTAAGTTAACTAATAGCAAACATTGTCACTACTAGTAAGGCACTTGTTACTAGAAGCGATGCACTTGTTTCTAGTAGCGAACATTGTTTCTAACCGGCCTGTTCCAGGTCCCAAATGCCCAGCACGGTTAACCAAAAGTTGGCCACGCGTGGCAAAACACTTCGCCGGCTGTCGGTCGCCACCAAGAAGCCACCTCACAGGGAGACGTTCTGTTCCTTTCGACGGAATTTGCCCGGGTCCCGGAGTGTTGATTGGTACCGGAGATTAAAATGCAATTCATGGCTCCCTTCCCCAACATGTTGAGAGAAACACCCAGTAGATGGAGAAGTGACCTATCCCAAGCTCTGAGCCACAGACTGCACCTTTTTGTCCAACAATCTAGAAACCAAATGAGCGAGCTTGCTTTGCTCTTCTCAATTAAGTAGGCGCCTATTTCATTTGTAAGGGTGGGCTTTAAAAAGAAAGAACCAGAAAAAAAGAAGCTATTGGGAATCTGCTTCGTCTCGGTGAGGTCAGGTTTCCAGTCTGTTTTGTGGATCCATCTCCTGGTGCTCCCTTCCCCGGTTTCTCCGACCCTCGGTTTCCACGTTTGGGAGAACAGGGAGATCTCATAGGCCATGACAAATGCCGGGACTCTCTTGACGCTTAGACTATTGACCCAATTGTGACTTGAGTTGACACGTGCAGACTTCCACTGAGTCTTGGGAGCTATTCACTTGAGCGGCTTGCCACACCGCTGTGCAGCACACCTCACATCACGACTGAGCCAAGGTGCTCTGCCGCGTGATGGTATGCTGAGCTGTGGTGGCCGCCAGGATGGCGTCATGGTTTGTGCGCAAGTCGTCCAAGGACATCCGTCGGCAGCTTTGCCTCGGCTGGGAACTGGAAGATCCTGCCGTTCAGACAAGAGAGGCTTTTTCCTTGTCAAAGTACAATCTGATCTCCTTCCTTTTTCAGTCCTTTTGCACTCAGTCCTCAAGTCCTCTCTCTCTTTTTGAGATCCGCGGCAGTACGATATTGGGGTTGGTGGTCAACTGGCGCGAGGTGAAGGTTCGCACCGGCTGATCGTTCGGTTCCTCGCCGAAGTCCTCCAGCTCCTCATCCTCGTGCCTTGGCGGTGGTTACGGAGCAAGAAGCTAGTAGGTTGGAGCTTGGCCATGGTTTTTACTGGATGGTGCACAGGGCTTTTCTGTTCCGTTTCTGTGGGGTCTGTGAAACACAGACTCAGATCCTTTTCGGTGACTCCTTTCTTGGATGGTGCAGAGTTCGTCGGTTTCTTGACGGTGTAGAGACCGAAGCTCCCAAAGACTGCATGCGCTCTCAACTCCTCCCCAGTCGAGAACAACAATACCAACCCCTCCTGGCCGGGTTTGAGTGGTCTCTCAACATCTTTGGGAGATGTCAACACCCAGGTTGTGACATTTTTTTGTGACCTGTCTCATCCAAAGCAACCGCAGTGCCCCAAGCGCCTGCTCTTGCTACTCTGCGCGGAGCGCGAAAGGGTGAGCGCCTTGGGCGCCAAAAGCACGTGCGCGGTGTGCCTCAGAGGCGCACGGACCAGTGTCGTTTTCGGCCACCCAAAGCCACAAGAACAGCCGCCCTGGCTTCACATGGATTCACCGCTCTCAACATGCTGGGTGTGCCGCTGCAACGACCAGGCAACGACATGAAACCCAAATAACTTGGTGAAAAAAACATAGATGACAAGATCTTCATCAGCCCAAACATCTCTGTCTTCGTGTCTTTGTTTTCTCAGGTTCATGTTCTCCATCTACCCCAAATACCCGTGAAAGCAACTTGTTCCATTCTCACCACCAGCGGCACCTCATCTGCCGGTTTGTCATCCAAGAAAGGGGAACAATCCCGTCTGCAGCCCTTTGTCTGAGCGGCGCTTCAATCTGATCCATGCTCATAATGCGCGGCTTGTTCAGCGCCGCGATGCCCCCCTGGAAGAGTCTCAAAACCGTGACGTCCGTGAGGTCCAACACTTCGCTACTGGTAGCGTCCGATCGCTCCGTTCGTAGCGATGCCAGGAGTCTCAAAACCGCAAGGTCCAAAATAGCGAAACTTCCCGAATTTGATGACATCTCCGTGCTACGTTAGGCTCGAGGTGATCTCAGTCGCCTGGCTCGTTTGGGTGACGAAAAGACGTTCTGCCATCGTTTGGAAGTGTCTTCATGTCCAATTTTCTTAGGTTGGAGGCCATCGCTGTTACTAGAAACAAAGAACAACGAAAAGGAAAAAAGGTCTTCGCTATAGTTTGCTCTTAGGGTGGAGGCCATTGCTGCGCCAAAGAGGAGCGTTCCTTCCGTTCACCCTTCACGTCACCTCCAAGCCCGGGGCTTCGAGATTGGATCGTCGCCGACTTCTTGTGGTGCAACAGCCTGGAATTTTTCGAAGAGGCCCGGGCGAAATGGTGCGCAACCATCCGGATGAAACAGTGAAGAAAGGCTGCATGCTGCATCCTTTTGAACAGTCAGAGAGGTTTCTGCATTCCGAGTCAAAAATGGGTTGGAAAAAAAAGGGGTTTTGGAGGTGGAAAAACTCCCCAGGTGGCGAAAGAACCTTACGACATGGACGCGCAGGGACCCGCAGGAAGCTTTGGGCGACCGTATTTTGGCAAAGCCGCAAGTGTGCAAAAACCCATGGGATGCCAGTTGTATTTCCGCTGACCAGTTGGATTTGGGAGTCTTTTCGTGGGTGTTACTTGTTTCCCCCAAGGAGGAGCTTGTCGAATTTCTCCCAAATCTTTGAAGTCGCATGGGTCGCATGAGAGGATGAAGCTCGGTCGTGTGTCGCGCCATCAGCTTCTCGAGAACCCATCCAAAAAGATCCAAAAAGAACAGTTGTGGCACACTGGTTCCAAGCTTCGTGGAGAAGCGACATGGCGACACAATCAGCACCTACTAGCGCGCAGGCCTCCTAATAGCGATGGCGCAACATATGTCCCAATGTGACAGTGAACTCAGCAAGCATTCGGAACTTCCTAATTAAATTAATAGCTTCTTGTTACTACTAGTAAGGCACCTGTTACTACTAGTAAGGCACTTGTTTCTACTAGCTTATTGTTACTAGTAGCATTCGGAACTTCCAAAAAACACTTCGTCACCCGACCGCGACCGTCCAACACGACCAACGACACCTCTCCGACGACCCGGAGAGGACGCTCCGGACGCGAGGCTTCGGACGTGGCGAGACTTCACTCCACCGGGTCTCTTGGGCGACATCTCCATGACGATCTCCCCCGGCAGCATGGGCGGCTCGCTGTCAGGTGCTGCCAAGGCATCCACCGAGGTCACATGGGAGGCTTTCATCAAGGCCTGAACCTGCGAAGAAGAAAGAAGGGGTGTTGGTAGATAGAAAAGAAGACCACAAAAAAATGATAGAGCCACCAAAAAGGAGGTCCTTGGTGCACTTCGGCACCTTTCGTGTGCTTGAGGCCCCCCCGCCAAAAAAAACAACCTCAACCAACCCCGCTTCCTGTCCCCGACCTGCTGCAATTGATTGCCCTGAGCGGCCACCGCACTACGCAGACTCTGGAGGCCGCCCTGCACCTCTCGCATCTGCTCTTGAAGTTCCACTAAACTTCGAAGCCTCGGAACCGTGAAGCCGTTCGCCGTGAAGCCGCTTCGTTCAAAGGCCGTGACTCTTCACAACAGAAACAATCGACACGTGAACCAACACGTGAACCAAATGAAAGCTCGCTGTCACCGACACATCCACATGGGTATGTCTTTAAAACCCCCAGTTTTGCATGGCAGATTTAGTGCTTGTGCACCTATGTCCATGTCCAATCAACGACCGCACTGGTCTTTCGAGCGGTCGCCTTCTTGTTCTTTCACAGCATGCTATTATCAGCTTGTTTAGTTTTCACCAATTAAAAAATTCAATTCTGGTGGTTTTGAAAGGAGCGGTCACTTGCCACAACTTGCCCAGTATGGGTTTCCGGCAACACGTACTTCAGAAAGCCGGTTGGAGGCCATCGCTAGTAGGGTGGGGGCCATCACTCTTAGGTTCTCATTCCCACATTAAAGAGATTTGCACAGTTTCATTTCATTAGGAGGCCATCGCGGACAAGCTCCTCTCGGAGCTTTGCTATGCACATACCTCTCCCCAAAACCTACCCCATGTGCAAGTTGAGCACTACCCCCAGAGTCCCTTTTGGAGCCAAGGGATTCTGTGTTTCCGAACAGATTCTCCAAAGTGTTTTATGCAGAGTTTGCAGGTGTTGTGTGGATCGAGAACGTCCCTTGCTGGAATCAACAAGAATAGTACTACAGCACCTGTCAAGCAAACGGTGAACCGCTTTGTGAAGGACAAAGGGTCCATATACAATCCAAAAGACTCCAACATGCCCTTCACCCCCTTTGGACGTGGGCACGAAGTCAATTGATCCTGAATCTTCAGCAACATGGACATTGGCTCATCCTTCCACATCTCCGTCTCCGTCTGCTCAGCGCTCGTTTCCGCGCTCATGGTGCCGCGCGACACTCCGGACGGTTGAACTACATCTGAGCCGCGAAGGGGACGACCAGCAAGGACGCTTCTAGGAGCGATCGGACGTTACGAACGGGGCTCCTGGCCGTACTACGAACGGAGCAAGGATGCTACTAGGAGCAAAGGGCATCGCTACGAACAGAGCGATTGGACGCTACTCGGTGGACGACCAGTCGCGTTTTCAACAGGAGCCCCGGAGGGGACCCCGGTGGAGGAACTCCTCGGGAACTCCGCCGCGCAGGCGTGCAGCGCAGTCGGGCTTCGCCGCTGTCGAGTATGTTTATTGGTATATACGTACCGTTATATACTATGACATATGTATAATATGTATTCATATATCATATCTATATATAGACACACGTAAGACATATGTATATATTACATGATATTACATGAATCAACCGTGGAACACCTATGGCCTCTGGTTTTTCAAGCACACCACTTCAAAAAGGTGTGGTGGGTCTGGTCGGGGGTATGACCCAAGGCACTAAAATCATGAGCAAAAGCCTGTAAACACATGAAAAAGAGATCTTGCCAAACTGGCCAAAAGGATGACTGGCAAATCTCGTTGCACCAAATCCGTCGTTTTTCACCTTCACCAACTCTGGACCTCGTCTTCGGACAACGCTCCCACCTTGGCGACGTTAGTCCAAAAGTGCCTCACCGAAACGGAGACACCGGCGAACAAGTCGAAAGGATCATAGCTTCTTGCTACTGGTAGGAGCGGCCTCCAACCTACTAGCGATGGGCTCCTCCAACCTAGAAGCCTTTGTCACTACTAGCTTCTTGCTACTCAAGAAGCTAGTAGTAATGCACTTGTTACTAGCCTCTTCTTCTGCGTGCAAAACGGTACCCTCCCAGCTGATCCCCTGTTGGTTGTGGAGTTTATGTGAGACCTGATATTAGGATGCTTGGAGCATTCTCTTAGGTTGGAGGCCAGCTAGGGTGGAGGCCATCGTTAGTAGCTTGGAGGAGGATGCTTGCAACATTCTCTTGTGATCTGCACGCAAGCTCCGCCCCATGCATTTCCCCGGATCTCGAGATCCACTTCCTTTTCACCAAGGAGAAATCAGTGCGCAGCTTGTGTTGAGCTGCTCTCAAGGTCTGCTAAGCAGGTTTTCAAAACATGCTCCTTGTGCAGTTTCTCAAGGAGGCTCCTTGTCATGGAAAAAATGCTTTGCAGGGTGCTGCAGAGCTAGGCTTTGATCAGTGCCGCTGCCAGCTGAGCAGACTTCTCTCCACCTGTGACGCGAGGCGCTGAAGCTTTTTGAATGGAATGAACTTCGATGAACTTAGGTGAACTTCTTTTACGCAATTTTTAGTCGATTTGATCCTTCCCACGCCTCCATGGCAAACATCAAAGATGCAATCTGCAAAGACCTGGCCAGCTCTGCATACAAAGCCTATGTCACTTGGACACTACATGACCCGGGACATAAACGGAAATTGGAGGTCGAGCCCGACTGACATGAACTTTCATTTCCAATTCTGGAGGTCTTGGAAATCTAGGACCACTAGGTTCTAGCAGCCTTCTTCCACTTGCGTGCCTCTGATTCAGAGCTGGCGTCTTTCGGCAAATGTTTGGCGCAAATGCTGGCGGCCGCTTCTTCCTGCGCTTCTGTGCAGGGAGGCATTGCCTGACGAGACCAGGTCTGCCACGAGAGGCGGGAAATGATCAGCATGTGCTAAGGCAACTTTTCGCTAAGCGCAAATGATTGCTACAGTGGAAAAGCTCTTCTGGTGGCAAATGACACGACAGCAACAAAAGAGTCGCTTCTGTGCGAATGGATCATGTCAAGGTTATGCCTAAGCCTTACCTAAGCCATCAAAGAGCCGTTAGAATCCTTAGGAACCTTCAGTGAGACAACTGTTCCATCTGGCGCAGGTTCTTCATCTCGCCAAGTCACCAGGGCGACAAGAGAACTTGCATGGTCGGTCTCGGACTCCAAATACGATGCTCCGGACTTGGTGCCGCCCAATTCAACCCAAGGCTGCTTCACCTGGAGTGAAAAAAACATGAAAAAAATACCTAATAGCAATGGCCTCCAACCTAGTTGCGATGGCCTCCAACCTAGTTGCGATGGCCTCCAACCTACGAGCGATGGCCTCCAACCTAACTGCGATGGCCTCCAACCTACGAGCGATGGCCTCCCTCCTACGAATGCTTCTGAAGACACCGAAGGTCGTCAATATTCAAAAACTCTGAGTGCCTGGAGGGTATCAAAGGCTGCAACCATTTCACAACTGTTTTTTCATGACTTGCATAGCTATGCATCAAAACATAATGGTCCTATTCTGTCTCCAGATATGGAGGCCATCGCTCTTAGGATTCTTAGGTTGGACATCCATGAAGCATCACTCTTTTTTAAACCAAAGGAGACGACACGAGAGATCCCAGCCTGATACTGGTCATCGGTCCTCACGTGCATCATCCTGGTGTTGGTGGAGAGAAGGGCGGCACTCTGCACCTCTTCAGAGTGAACACCCAGCTCGCCACCCACCACATCGATGTCCTCCTTTTCATACATGGCCATCTTGAAGTCCAAGTGATCATCTGGCGTACACTGCGTGTAGAGCCTGGCCACTTTGCGGCCCGAAGGCATGCCGACACGATCTGTCATCTTCAGGTAGAGCTCCGACACGACCTGCGGGTTGTTCCCATCTGTCTTGTGTGGCTCACTGATGTTGACGGACGTGACGTGATCTTCAGACGACAAAAGCTCTGCTTTGGCATCTCGCCATTCGTCTTCACCCTCCCGAACACGCCAAACACAATCCTTTGAAGTCAACTCCAGGGTCTTCAGGCTGTCTGCGATCTTGTCCAAGAGCAAAAGCCCTCGAGTTTCGAATTTCGGGCCTCCGTACTTGGCCAGGAGCTGGAAATCCACCTTGGCATTCTTCAAGCTATGTTTCGAGTGGAAGGAGGTGTCTCGAGTGAAAGTCCAAGCCTTGAAACTGCCATCCTTCAACAAGGTGTAATGCGCTCCATGAAATGATGCGATGTGAGGATCTCCACCCGAGGCGGCAGTGGATGTCGTTCCGGGATCCGCAGCTGTCGTGGTCACGGTGGGGCAGCACTGGGAACAATCAATGCTGGAGGCATCTGGCTTCCCGCCGGATGTTCCAGCGCAGCAGTAAGAACCTGTAGAGGACAGCGCGTCAGCCTCTGCGCAAGTAGCTTGACAAACGGGAATGTCCCTACCCGCACGCCGGGTCGTTGGGCAATTGACGCCCGTGCATGAGCATGCACCACCATTCAAGTCGACCTGAATGTCCGCGCAGGCATTGTCACCACTACATGATAGAGACAAGCAGGTGCCACTACTGAGTGTCAACTCTGCTTTGAAACAGGCCTTGAAGCCTGTGCAAGTCATCTTGACATTTGAGCCTGCTCCGAAAGTCATCGCGGCTTTCTGGCAAGAGCCTTGGTCATCGCCAGCTCCACCCTCACTGTTGCATGTGACACTATGGTCACCTGAAGAGAATGCAAATCCACCCTTGTTTGCGCCTGTGGTTTGGTCACCACAACCTTGCTTTGCTTGACAATAGAAATCCTCAGTGCGAGCTTGCTTCGGAAGGGCTGTGCTTCGGAAGGGATTTAAATTCTATTCACCAGATAGCGACAGCTATGGGGTTCTTGTTCCAGCCAGCCGCATGTCAACAGGTCGTGGGATTCTAGCTATCTGGGTCTATGCTGGTGTAATGTTTGAGGATTGGCCCAGATTGAATGAGGAACAAGGAGACCTTTGCATCCAAGGATCCCCGGTGATTTCCGCATCAATCTGGTCACAAGCGCCGTTGTCTGCGCAGAACAAGCTGTGGACACCTCGGACTTCAGACTGCTTGCAGGCATTGATGCCGGAGCAGCACATGTCATTGGTGCACTGACTGACGCTCGAGGTGTCCATGTGGATCCGGGCCTCGTTGTGACAAGCATTCTGGTCGCTGCAGCAGGCGGCGCCCACATTCTGCACGTTCCAGAAGACCCTGCAAGACTCTCTGCCAGAGCAATCAAGATAGTTGCTCGAGTCGGAGAAGGTGAAGAACTTGTCCTTGTCCGCCTGGGCATTGGAGTCACTCCTGCACGAGTTCTGCCCCGCGCAGCGTAGCCCTCCGAGATTGAAGGGCCCAATGCTTTGACCATCAGGGTCCGGAGTGCATCTGCAGGCGCTATCTGCACCGCATGTCCCTTTATTCAGATCCTCTTCCTCTTGGGCAGTGCACTTGTCAGCCGGCTGCTCGACCTTGAATCGGACTCCACACCAACACGAACAGCAGTCGACCGCAAGGCCAGGCCTGAAACAACAATGCTCCCTTAGCTACTAGTAGCTTCTTGTTACTACTAGCAAGGCGCCTTGCTACCAGTAGCTTCTAGCTTCTAGCTAGTAACCAACAAAAAACTGCCTCCCAACGATGCTTTTCCTCGGAAAGCCAAGGAGCTTGGAATTGCAGCATTGCAGTCTTATCATCACACGCTGGCCTCATGCAGCAGCACGCCAAGGAATGGCAGAAAACACTCAGGACACACTTGGGAACAAACACCTGTGGTCGAAGCCAAGTACAATGTAGTATACTGTTTGGTCTACTTCGATTGGAATAACCCTTCTTCACACAGGTGTTTGGTCAAACTGTTCGTCTCACATTCCTTGCAGCGCCGATGCAGCGAACACAAAATATGCTGTCTCAAGTATGGTCCCCTGAAAACATTCGAAAATGGACAGATCGACTAGAACATACTTTGTACCCCATTCATTGAGGATCTTCTTGAAGTTGAAACACTGGGTGCCAGGCTCATGGCTCGAGCAATTGCCAGCATCAAGAGTCTCCTGCAAAGAGAGCACCCCCCGAGCACCCACTTGTTTCATGAGGGATGGGTGGACCTGGTCAGACTCAGGCTATGTGTTTTGGCTATGTGGACCGAACGTTGTTGCTAACTCGGAATCGCCATTTGTAACTGGTTCGGAATAACTTCTTTCGAACAACTGGTTCAAAGTGCTCCAACCTGGACTTGCGGCACCTGCGCTGTTTGAAGATTATATTGACATTTCAGGATTCTAAGCCACAGAATGCAAATGATCGTACCTCGCCTGGCACCAAGCCAGCTGCACCGTCAGCTGCAGCAAAAGAAAAAACCCACATGATCTTCATCAATGAAATCGACAGGAAAGCTTGTTGGAAAGTTGTCCCTTGTAAGCCAAACGCCGCTGTGCAAATGAGGGCCATGCAAGCAAATCTGGGAAGACTTCTCTCTCGTAGCAAGACTTCTCAAGTACGTATCCCACTTCCAGCGACTGCGGCCGAACCACGCCATGTGAAACTTTAAGGTACTAGGAGGTCTTTGAAGCTACTAGTAACTAGAAGATTTTTAGGTCTTTAAAGCTTCTTAGTAGCATTCTTATAACTAGGTCTTTCAAGCTTGCCATCGCCACCGGACTCACCAGTGTCAACTCTGCTCCCGGTCCCGCCTTCGAGACGGTCGCTGTTCGATGCGCATCCTGAGAAGGGATCACCTCCACCCTCCTAGCGATGCCGGCCTCCAACCTAGTAGCGTCCTTGCTACAGTAGTAATGTTCTTTCTTTTCAAAAAGGTCTTTTGATGTAAAGCAGAATCCAAAAAAACGGATCTCCAACAGCCCTTTAGTACTGGACCAATCTGCGTTCGGGTTCCCGTCCACCAGCTATCCCCGAACTTTTCCATCGGGCAAGGCAGGGACTGGGGGAGTGGAGGTGGAAGCAAGACTTCCAGCCATGCGCTTAAAAAGGAATCGAAGCCGCAAGAGAAAGACACCTTCACCAACACCAAACCGCAACAGCCCAAAGAATCTAGTAAGGCACTTGTTACTAGTAGCTTCTTGTTACTACTAGTAAGG